CTTCAATATCAAATGCATGACCCGTGTTGCTGTAGAAGTAGTTGTTTACCGCATGAAGCAGCGTGTTTCCCTGTCCACCGACCTTCGGGCTGCGGCCAGAGGTGTGGTGGATGTAGTTGCCCTTCATCGTGATGAGGTCGCTGCCGCCGAGGAGGAGGATGGTCCAGTAGTGGCGGCCGTCGCAGGAGGCGGACCAGGAGGTGCTGCCGTCGAATTCTGTGTTGCTGATTGTTACACGGCCCGAGGCGCCGTAGCCTGCTACGAACATTTGGCGGCCGATGAGGGAGATTTTGACGTGGTCTGGAGGGGTTGTTAGATGCGGGAGGGGTTAAGAAGGGAGGAAGTGGACGTACCGATCCAGACGAGGTCGGACTTGTCGAGGGTGATGGCATCGCCGCCCCAGATGTACTGTGGGTTGAGCTCGGTGATGTGGATGTTTTGGATGATGATGTTCTGTGCTCCATTGGCGATGCGGAGACCTTTGCCACGGATGACACCCTTGTTGCCAACACCGATGAGAGACTTGTTGGAGCCCATGTTGATGGCAGTTACACCAGCGTTGTCGTACTTGACCTGGACAGACGTAGCGCCTGCTCCAGCGTTTCCGTTGTCACACCAGTTGGCAGAGTTGATGGCGTCCTGACCTCCGTTGCCAGGGCATTTGTTGGATGCGGGACGGCAGCCGGTGGCTGTTGTGGTTCCCTCAGTACCCTTGAAGTTGAACTCTCGGTCGAGTACGATACAACGGGCAGTGTTGTCGCTGAGCCAGGTCTTCAGCTGGGCTACAGAGGAAGGTACAACACAGGCTGCATTGCCACCTCCCGTAGTGCCCCTTCCGAAGCCCTCAGGTGTGCCTTTGACTCCGTATGTTTGCCTCTCTCCTAGGACGGCGGCGCTGGCTGTGTACGCGCTTGCGAGCGCAAGAATAGAGAACTTCATAGTGAAAGACGAATGAATGATGCTTTCCTGAAGCAAGATGAAGGCTTAATAAGTAGAAAGAGTGGCTTGATACTGTAGATAGTCCTTTACCGGTGGCACATCTGCTCTTTAAAAGCAATTGCCATGCTAGCTAGAAGGGTACCCCTCTGGAAGGATACTCGGCAACCATGCCGGCATCGAGATACCTCTGATGTTGAGGAGAGTAGTTTCTGCGCCTTAGTGTTGATTTCCTCCATTAGCAGCGCGGAAGGACCAGCGCTTGGTGATGATAGGGGCATGGTAAAGCACCAGCTCATGGCGCTAACGCACGCTCCAAATGACAGCGGCGCGCAGTCAAGAACGCCACAGGGACTGTGAGTAGTTTGACAGCTATCCAGATCCCTGCAATCTCGTTCTCTTCAGGTACTGTTGCCGGTGTGCTATTGTTGTGCCAGGGACCGTGAACATGTTTGCCCTGCTTCTGGAAGTTGGATCATTTCGGCTGTCGCGCTCGAGCCCTGATGAATCCTGCTCTTGGAAATAGATGTGGGACCATTGTTACCGGAGGTTCCTAATCGCGCGACTCAGGTGTTAATGGTGTCTGCCCAGGTGTTCGCACGTGTAGTCGATGAACGTGTATTCGACGTCGGTCCGAATGATTACACCACACTGCTGTTAGATCGAACCCTAGTCGCTCATCTTTTCGCGATCAGCCTCGAGCTAATCGCTGGTCAGTTGATCTGGCTTCATATAGAGATAGCGCTTGAGCGGTGGAAGAATAATGCAGACCTCGGCGTTCTCTTCGGAACGGGTAGGGCGGATGGCAGACCCTGGGCTAGCACGTTTCGTCTCTCCGCACTTTGGTAGACCTGCGCTAGCGTAGCATATGCCGGCGCTACAAGCACACCAAGCACATCTCGGCAATGTTTTGCCCGGTCATGGACATGTCGGTGTTTGAGTTGGCAGCATTCTAGCCATAACGATCTATGCATGTTGATTCACGGAACAGAAACACCGCCTTTGACAATGTGATGCTGCGAATGATCCAAGGTTACCCCGGGAGCAGCAATATCAGGCGTATACGCTTGCTTTGCGACTATTATGCACGGAAGCTGGTATCCGCACCTGTCGAGTGTCGGAAGAATATTCACGCGCGTAGCTCGTCGGACTTTTAGATGACAGGACGCGATGGATGGAGACCACGAGGTGGATTTAAATGTCCGTAACCCACTTCCACATGGCTACCGAGTGTTCGGACGACGTGTTGAGTAATCGAAACTCTGACTGACTGCGACTGTTCATATTTTTAGTCTTCGTAACATCGTAAATGACTTGTATTTCATGTACACATAGCCACTCATACTCCGGTCTTATGCATCAAGCCCAGCCACGACTGTCATCGTCATGAGACTCGAGGAAACGCCCTTAATCAGCTCGACTGACATATTTATACATACTCTCTGTCCGCACAGCTCTGGATCATGCCCTTGTTGGTCGCGTCGTACTCAACCAAGTCGATCTTGCCGTCCTTCTCGACAGTGTTTGCCTGGACGAAGACCTTCCTAGGTGTCTTCTTCTTAAGAACGGCCGGCCTGACCATGTTCTCGTAGAAGGGCTCAACAGTGGTGATCTCATCGTACATCCTCTTACCAGCTGCGTAGTCGGCAGTGGCCTTGTAGATGTGCAGCTTCTGGAGGTAGTCATTCACGGCAGGGCGGCCTAGATCCAGGATGCGATCACGCTCGAGGCGAATGGTCAGGTCGGAGAGATCGTCCTTTTCCCACTCCAGCTGGCAAAACTCGACACCGGCATTGAGGAATGTGCGCAAGATGGAGAAGCGAGCTTGCATGTGGGCTTGACCCCACTTCCTGCTCTTGGGATCCCAGAACTCTAGAGCTGCGATACCAGCGCGGGCCATCTGAAGGTATGCTGTGAAGAGAACGTCGCCGGCCTCACTGTTCATGTCGGCCTTGCCGTCACCAAAACCGAACAGTTGCAAGATGGGGAATTCGCAAGAGAGCGCCATGGCGACGCATTCGGCACGGCACTCCTCGTAGGAAGCAGCGATGGTGCCGAATGTTGATCCCCAAGTCTGGCCTGGCTTGTACCAAGACTTTATCGGCTGGCCGCTTAGTGGTGAGATTGGAGGGTTCTCTTTGTCGAAGTTGAAGACGCCTGGCTCCGTCTCCTGGAGAAGCTTACCACAACCATGGCCTAGCAGCTCGTGGAGACCGACCTGGACCTCGAACGCAGGGTCTCGGTACTTTTGGTACGTGGCCAGGTCTTTGTCTTTTATGAAGGGAACAGCCTCGTTTGGTGCCTTTGCAGAGAGGATGTTGCCAAGCGATACGTTCTTGAAGCCGAAGTTCTGCCGAATGTCATCATAGTTGGGGATGTTGATTCCGGCAGGGATGCTGTTGATGTTAGATGAGGTCACAGAACAACGTGGGAAGTTTTTCTGACTTACCCACTGCCCGCAAATGTCAGCACCTCGAGCGAGGTGAAGTCAGGGCTAAGGAACTTGTCCTTCTCGAACGACTTGTCCCACGGTAGCAGAGGGATGTACTGTGGCGCGGTCTCGACCAACTTGCCAAAGGCTCGCGTCCGTTCCTTGTTGACCATGGCAACGAAGCCTTCCCACTCGCCACGGATGCCGTGTGGGTCGCGGTATGTCTCGATGAATCCGATGTCCGATTCCACCTGAGGTCCCTTGTCTTGGACCCATGCCTTTTGGCTTTCCTTGAAGGCCTGGAGTGACCCTGTCCTGAAGCTCTTGGAGTATTCCTCCATCATCTTGATCTCGTGGTCATTGGCTGCGTATTTCTTCGCCTGCTCAATGTGGTGCGCGATGGTGTCCATCTCCTTGGAGTAGTCACCAAAGACCAGCTTCACCTTGCTGCCATCGTCCATTGTCCACTCGCTTTCTTTCAGATCGCGTTGTTCTGCTGATGGGTTATCCGAGGCTGAAGCAATAAGAACCTCGTATTCATCCTTAGCCTTCTTGATCCTTGTGTTCTCCGGAAGCAGTCCTTTGCCTTCGAGGAAATCGCTCACGCTGGAGATCTGTTCGCTGGTGATGTCGGGGCTGTCGGGATAGTAGGTTGAGATGTGTCCCGCACTGGGGTAGCCCAGATGCAGCTTTCCCACATCGTTGCCGGCATATATGGCGTCCTTGAACTTTTCGTATATGGCCAATGTGTCTTTGGAGGCGGTCGCGAGTGCCTTCAGCTGTCGCGGATCGAGGCGGGGTACGAACTTGCTGTCTCCGAAGGACTTGAAGTTGCCTAGGTTGCCTAAAAACTGCGCTGAGTAATCGAGGTATGCGTCGATCTCTTCTTGTGAGAGACCGGTGTCTTTGGCGAGGGAAGCATAGTCGCCCTTGGCGTGCTTGTGGAGGGCGACGATGAAGTCATAGATGTGCTCGGATTCGGGGGAGACTTGGCGGAGGACGACGCGTGTTCCGGCGAAGCAGGCTCTGTGGTATGGGTCAGTTACTATACCATATACTGCTGAGGCATATGTATGTCCTACACTGAGAGATGGTGGGCGTAGAGCTTCTCCTTGTCGCTGAGCACATCGAAGTGAGGCTTGATGGTCAGAGGCACGACAGTGGGCGGGCTATCGGCCAAGTACTGCTTGAGGGTCTCGGAGTCTATAGTGGCGGTCATGTTGTTGGTGGTAGTTGAGGTTGAGAGTCGTCTGGTGAGCTCCAAGGGCATCGGCGGGGGGCTGATGCGGGCCCAGTAGCGTGGGCGTGGGGTAGCTGCACGTGTCTCACCTGAGGTCGTGGCAGGTTCGCGCCTCCCTGCCGCGCGCCATGTACCAATCCGCCCACTTGCTAACCTCCCTGCAAGAGGCGGCAATGAACGCGGCCTGGCAAGTATCATTGTCAGACGTCTTCGTTCTCATTCGGAGTAGAGTAAAGATTCCTCTTTTCGCCCGCTTAGCTGGCGCAAATTTCCGCTGAGGTGTTTTCCTTCCCGACGCGTCATGGTCGTGCCTTCTCCACTACCCGTCAACGTCACCTTCCATCCCACCAACACTCCCATCATCTCTCTACCTAGCCGCAGATTCTCTCCACCATGGACGACCTTCCCAACGAATTGCTCATCCACATTGTTGACCAACTGAGAGGCCCTACAACCTGGGCAGATCCAGCCGACTACAGCCGCACGGACGCCCTTGCGGCTCTTTGTTGCGTTTCCAAGAAGTTGTACCATATTGCCAGACCGTTGCTCTACGGATCGATAGACCTGCCCCCGAATGACGGTGTTTTGCCCCAGTCTCGAAGACTTTTTGCTCGTCTCCAAGAGCAGCCAAGCCTTCGCTTCGAGATCAAAGCCCTTCGACAGAAGACGCGTGCTAGGCTGAGACAGGACGGTGAGCGCCGTATGCGCGTCCGCGATGAGTACATTAAAGACACTACAAGAGACGTGAGAGCTTTTGGATTAGGCACGGAAGACGCCTCAGAAATCGTGGGCCGTTGGCTACGGTACGAAGACCTATACTTCGCTCTATTGGCATTCCGGACACCGACCTTGGAACGGTTGTGGATGCGGCCGGATATATACCACGAGGGGTCCTATGACGACTGTCATTGCACACTTCTTGAGGGCATAGGTCGTATGGCTATGGGCGTACGTTTGCTCGACACTCACCATTTTGACAATCTCAAGACTTTATACATCGACTTCTCTGATCAACCAATAATTTCTGCGCGGTATGCGTTCCCGTTGTTACTTCTTCCCAACTTGGATGAGCTTACTCTTGTCGCGTTGGGTGGCTACTACGACATTCCTGAGGGTGAAACGGAAGTCGGTTTCGACGGATACGAGACCGACGACGGCTTGACCATTTTCGACCGCCCTTGGTTGTGGCCACTACGCTCATCGTCCATCACCAAGCTCTCGCTATTCAAACCAGTGTTCTCCGAGAATGCGGTCAAGAAGATGATACTTGCGTGCAAAGCTCTGGAGCGATTTGAATGCTTTCACCCACTGCGTTCTAGCACGAACGATCAGTGGTTTGGGGCTCTCGTTCCTGCGCTGAACAATCACATCGAGAGTCTTCAAAATTTATCGTTACTGTGTAGGGAACCTTATTGGCCCTCATTAGAGAACACTGGCATGGCGCAGCTCGATCATCTCCATGAATTCACCCACTTGAACTCGGTCAGAGTCTCTTTGAATCTGGTTTCTGACCCGGGGGAAACTCTGAATGCTCGAAATCTGCCTGCTTTCTTACCGCCAAGCATCACATCACTGCATATCCACTATCCCCGTGAGCCAAACGACGAAGCCGATCAACAACTTCTCGATGTTCTCACCGCGCACAAGGATGGTATCTTGCCGTCGCTGAAAGATGTATACATCACATGGGTATACTATCAACGCGAATGGGAAGAATACGATCTGCTAGAACGACTTCGGTCGCTGGTACAGATCAAAGAGCAATACGAGACGTCATCCATCACGTTTGACATTATGTTGACAATCAGAGACGACAAAGGTAAATGGCCGTTGGTCGGGGGATCGTCAAGCAGTGCTAACGTCTACTAGGGATCAGACGCAATTGGCCTAAGCTGGCCCATCTAGGACTGGTCATGAATGGGACGCACCTGAGCGCGGATCCCTACTGTCGACCTGAGCAGGAAAGTATCTTTGTCGATTTTACGACCTCTCCTATTCGCTACACGGCGCAGGAACTACAGGATGATCAAGATCACTGGACTTTCTGGTGAACCCGCGATTTGTATACCAGGGGCCACAGGGTATACTTAACACTCTTACCAGCTTCGTCTCTTGGTTCTGAAACATGCCCACCTGGCCCGACATGAACCGGCTCACGATCACGATATTTTCAACCCGTAGGTCTCCAGGAAGTCCAGGTCCAGCGGCGCGCGTATGGACGTCGATTGCGCAATTGTCACCATCGTCCATATCTGTCGATACACTCTGGCCCTATTCTCGGCTTCTTAATGACTATGCGATATCAAGATAGCCTCATCAGCGATCTCGAATCTGTGGAGATGTGCAGATATGAAGTTTCCGGCGCTTCTTACAGCCACTTCGCACCATCCTTTCATTACCCTCTCTCATCAACAATTCGACATCGAGAGACTGGGCCGCAGAAGCATCAGCGTCAACTGCGTGTGGTACGCTACTTGAAATTGCATTCATTATGCTAAAAGCTTCGGCACCGGGCATGGCGCCTTGTTGCCTCTCTCATTACGAAAATATATTTATAGTTCTTGGTAGCTCGAGGCGCTGCAGCCACGGGCCACACGGTCGATCGAGGACCCGATTTCAAGATGCCAGCTATGTCGATCAGATCCATTAAGTCAAACTAGCGCTGATCGCTTGACAAGGACGAAGTTGGTTATGCTTGTTTCTCTTGTGGTAACAAAGCACGTGCCGCCTGCACCAAGTTATTTTGAGGATCAGAAGTCCACCAGATTTGTCGCCGTACTTCTAGTGCCCGGTCATGCATATGCCGAACGAGTGTCTAACAGCGGTCATTCATCAAAACGGCTTGGAAATTCGGCTCACTGCGTGTGGCGTTATGGTATACCTTCTCAGTATCGCCGGATGCGTCCATGCTACCTAGAGACATTGGCTCCCTCAGCCTGGTACCTGCCATAGATGGGCTAGCGCTGACTGTGGAACACCAAGAACATAATCTGACTAGTCAGCTATTCCCGGCACATCGGTCTGAGTTCATGTTGCGGCTCACAAGGCTGAGGCCTCAATCGCTAGCAATCCTACTCCGCCTAAGCTAGTCTCCCGCGAATGATACTGAACGCCAGAGTACCCTGTTAGGCTAAATGCTGGGTGTAGCATACATACGAAGCACTTTGCTCTATTCATTTCTACTTCCTGAACTGAATGGGGGCGGTGTCAGCAATTCTTCCTTGGTGCAAAAAGCACCGCACAGCAAGGCTGAAAATCTAGGTCTTCCGACCCCCCGCATCATCCAACGCCAATGGCTTCAAAATCATCAAAGATGGATGGAATCCTGTCAAGGAAGCTTCTTGGGCCATACAAGCTGTCGGCCAGATCACATCAGCCACTTGAAGTACTCTAAAAGGACCGACTTCAAATGGACTTCACATGCTCATGGCATACAACATCAGGCGTTAATACGCACTTGGCACCTGTGCATAATGACTCGGCCCCAAAGCCACGGCGTCGGAGTCAATTTGAGCTTCGATCATCTCTACAATTCCGGCGATGTCTCTTCATCACACCATCAGCACGCTATGCTGTGTGTTATTGGGGGGCCAGCGTCGTTGATTGGCAAAGATGCATGCACAGTGCCTCTTGGTAGCCGCAAGAGGCTCAAGTAAACCTCACATTCGCTTTCCCTTGCTCTGTCACGGATATCCGGTCGGCAAATCCGATCCCCAAGGGACTGCCTTGACATACTCACCCTTCAGGTCAGGCTGAGCAAACGAACATAAGTAGAGCGTTGTGCTCGTAATAATGAAGCAGAATCCAGTCTGAGACTATCTCCGCGTCCTGCAACCTATCGCCATCAGCTGGAAATTCCCAGTCAAGTTCGCCCCAAAGCCTACACCGCATTGCTCTTGGAATTGATACCCTACTACCTTCTCTACTATGTCTTCATTCACCCTCCAGAAATTCCTGCTATCCCTCCTGCTCCTAGCAAACGTTGCTATTGCAGTCCGCTTCAGTTTCACCATCCAAGAAGTACACGTCGGGGTCACCCGTGACTTGCAAGAAGACGACCTGCTTCTCGCCATCGCCTCAACAGCAGGCAGCAACACCATCAAGAACTCTTGGCTTGTTGGCGAAGTTGAAGCCGATGCTATCGTTGCAGCAAACGATACCGTCAAGTACACGCAGGAAATTGATGTTCCTGACTCTGCTTCGAACCTGTCTGTAGCCATTGGTGGCTTGAACACAGATGATGAAGACGAGGAGTTGGCTTTCAGTAAGCAGTTCGTCGATATGTGCCCTATCGTTACTAACACGTTACCAGACTTTGTGGAAGGCATAGCCGCCGTCGCTGCCGCAATCCCCGGACCGCAAGCCCTCCCGGCTAAGCTCCTCAGCATCGTGCTCGGTGTCATCGGAAACCCCTTGAACTGCACTGGTCCCGTCATCGTCGGTAATGCTCTGTATACCAAAGACCAGATGGACGAGCTCGATCAGAACAAGCCCTCATGTGAGACCAAGGAATACGGATACGACACTCCATTCGCTTGTGCACCTACCGGTCAAAATTCGAGCTACAGTGTCACTTACTGCCTTGAGCGGCTTGACGCCAAGTCTGCAGCAGCGGCCAGCTCACCGAGTCTGGCTGCTCTGGTCATGAGCATTGCGGTTGCCGTCATCTACAGCGGCTTGTGAGCGGTCAGCTAGGGCTTCGGACCGGATAGTACAAGGGAAGACTGCGAGGTGGGCGTAAGGTTATTGCAGGTTGTAGCGTGTCGCTTCAGGGCTGGGAGATTTCGACAGGCAAAGAGCTACTTAGGAGGTTCGTAGTTTGGTACCTTAGTTCTCAAGTTCTCGTTTGTAGACAACATTTGGCCCTGTAGTTCGCGAGAGATACACTGTCGCTATAGCAAAATACTTGAACCCTTTCTTGTCGAACAGGTCGCAGAAATGCCAAAATCGAGATACTAGTTAGCAGTCGGGGTGGTATCAGTCTCCCAAACTCAGGGAGTGAGGGCGGAGTCAAGTCTAGCGAGAAAGACTAGGGTATCAATTTACTATCTATTCATCATAAGCACATTGCTCCAAGCCCTCGAAAACTCAAGCATCAATCTCTGCCCTCAGATTACCCCGTCCACGAGCGATCGCATCGCCCAGATCCATGTTGGAGGCTTGTCCACGCACGCTCGAAATGAAACGGCGTCCTCCATCCATGTTCTTCTTGTGCTTCTCTTCCTCCTCTGCATCCTTGATTTCTTGTAGTCGAACGCGCTCAGCCCGCTGCTCCTCTAGCGATGTCGCCTCTGCTTGCATTGCAGCTAGGCGGTCAGCAGCGCTCTGACGGGCTTCCGTATCATCGGCTTTGTTTTCGACTTGTTTTTCGACTTGTCTTCTCGGTGGTGTACGGTCCCGTCGTCGATATATGTCGCGGTCGCGAAGATCACCACGATCCTCCCTCCTGCGTGGTGACCGAGTGCGGTCTCGTCGGCTGCTGTGTTTGCGGTATGGGGATCGTGAGCGGGATTTCGACTGTCTACGATGGCTGTCACGGTGGCTGTCGCGATCGCGACGATCCTCGCGGTCTTCCCTCCTGCGTGGCGACCGTGACCGATGGCGTCGGCTGCTGTGCTTGTGTTCGCGATCCCGGCTCCGTTCCCTGTCCCGGTTTTTGTGTTTCTTCTCTCGCTCCTTCTCTTTCCCGCGCTTTTCGGCGTATTTGGCCTCTTTCTGGGCATCCTTCATAGCCTTCAACTGCATCTCCATCTTCTGTTTCTGAATCATGAGAAGCGGATCCTGGAGGACCTTCTTCTGTGTGTCGCGAGCAGTGTTCGCATTCGTGTCGGCCGTGGCGGCGTCGATGCCAACTGCAGCACCCTTCTGAAGGCTTTGTGTATCGTTCGACTTTAGCAGGTTGTCGATCCTGCGTTTGCCCAAAAGGTAGCCCTCGCGCTCCTCTGTGACGCCGGCATCGCCGCTCGGGCCTGAATACATCCAGTCAACCCTTCGCTGTACGACCTTGCCGCCATTCTCAGCTTGCAGTCTCTGCAGCTGCTCGATTGCCGCTTCTTCTTCACGTTCCTTGCGCAACTTCTCGATCAGTTTGCGCTCCTCGAGCGCAGACTTCTCCTCCTTCCACACTCTTTCCTGGTTCTTGCGCAGGTGGGGATGCCACGACTTCTTCAAGTTGAGATCTCCTCCCATGGCTGCGAGAGGTGTGGTGTGTGTGTGCGGGTAGGTGAAGTTTGTTGGTGGGTTTGCGAGAAAGTTGTGACGCGCGAGTAGGTGTGTTCGTTGGTGGTATTGCGACCAAGGTGTGATGCGCGGGTAGGTAAGTTCGTTGGTGGGTGTGGTGGGTGTGGATGTGAAAAGGTGATGGAGGCTGGCAGATGAGTTGCGCGACAAAGTGCCAAGGCGCTAGGTCAGGCCCCACCCAAAAGTTGACCTCCGCGACTTCTCCGCAAAAGTTTCGAGCGAACGAACGCGCCCGTATACAGCCCGAATATTCACGTCACTACAGGCGTCTCCCGGCCGAAAGACTATTACGTACTCCGATAAGAGTCTATCGTATTGCAATCCGCAAAACAATTACTCCCCGCGCAACAATGGCGACGCGCAAACGAAACGAATACCTCGACGTTGAGGAAAGCGAAGACGAGGAGAGAGGCTATGACTCCGAGGAGGAGAGCAGAGCGCACATGCTACCCACGTCAAAGCGGCAAAAAATAGATCACGTCTCCGACTCCGAAGGCGATGCGGAGGAACTGGAAGATGGCGAAGAACAAGATTTCGACGAAGACGGTGCCGAAGATGGAAACGAGGGCGAGGAAGACGCACCGAAGCGCTTCGCCTCCAAGAGCGCCGAACTAGCACATCTCGAGAAA